ACTTTTGTTTTCCTGGCCTTGGAGGGGTTAACCCTCAATCCATTCTGGTTAGCCCACCTAGAGATGTTACCCTGCATTAGCTCACTTATCGGATGACTGATGAGGCTTTGTTCGCTGTTGACTTTACCCAAGCGCTCTCTCTCTATTTCTGCCTTAAGCCAAGGCTCCACATGAGTTTATTATCATATCCAGCACATGTGCTGCTAACGATATCCAGGACGAGCGAACGTGGATGGTGGATGCAATAGTCGGACTTGAGTGCAGAATTCCAACTTTAACTGCATATTCAGAAGCTCCATGATGTCAAAGTGCACTAAAGTTCTGAGTAAAGTTGTTCTTGCAGCAAACGAGCGATATGTATTTGCGAAGTGAAGCTGTTATTTAACTCACTTACCAGTCTGTCCTCATACTGCATTCATATGTTAAAAAGTAGGATGTAGAAGGAAAATAAAGCAAACTAAGTGCGGTTTTCTCAAGTAACCTGTAACTTTAAAGCTCACTTTATATTTAAAGGTCGCATTAAAATTTGTGATTGCGTCTAAAGTGAAGCATTTTATTTTTGGTTTTAAATTGGTTTAAAACACTGATGGGCACCGCCTTGCCCGCGGGCAAAGCTCTTTACATTTTGCATAGGCGCGTATAGAGTAAAAGCTCTCTCTGCGCATCACTGGTTTAAAACCAAGAAACATAAATATGTACGTCAAAAAATGATAATAGAAATGCATAGCTTTAGACATAGCTTTATTTTAATCCCGCCTTTAAATATAAATTGAGCTTTAAAGTTAAATGTTACTTCAGAAAACGTCTTAAGTCTAATGTTTCTTAGCTGCATTGTTGCAATGGTTAAGATACATGAAGGTACACACATATTTATGTATGTACATAAGTATGTAGACATACATATGTATTTAGCTATGTAGTGGAAACTTTGGAGCTCATTCGCCGACGGCATTTAAGAATTTTGCTACATTGGCCTGGGTTTGTTGACATTATTTTGCATCTTGAGTTTTGCAAAGCATTTTCGTTTACTTTTAATGATTCATGAGCCTAATTATATATACAAATTTATTATCTAAAATAAAGCTAATGTTTATCCATTTTGTTTTTATTGTTTGAATATCAAAAAGCACGTGTTTGCTTAAAAATATTTTTATATTTATGTATATTCGTACATACATATGTATGTATATACCTACATTGACTGTGGCCGCTAGTTGTCTGGCGTGTTCGTGTTTCGATGACGCTTTGCCATCGTTTATGTTTATAAATAAATATTTTAATTGCTTTTTATTTTCGAGTGTGTTATTAATTGTTTTATTACGGCTGCTGCTGTTTGTGGTATTGGCGCCGTTATTTCTAACTTTTGTTTTGTGCTGCTCCGCTAGGCGGGACACCAACAATCCCTGCTGCCTGCCCCTGCAAATATCTTACAATATATGTATGTAAACAGTCATGCCCATTGACAGTTTGATTGACTGACAACCTGCTGTGCTTTGGCTGCTGCCGCTTGCTGTTATCACGGTTGCCATTTAGGCCAAATTGTACAATTTTTGGTACATTTTTTCCAGCTTGGTACTTGGGGAACTAACATTCATATTTGGTAAATTTTTTTGTTGAAAATGCATTGCAGTTTAAGCAAATAGCCTCTTGCGGGTTCTTTGGCATTTCAGCTGCGTTTGAGACTACATCATATAAAGCAAAATCCAGGGCCAATATATTCCTAATGCAAAAAATACACGGATCCTAAGCATGTTAAATCCAGAACTATGTATAGCAGTGGAACTAGGATACAGTAGGCATGAGCCCCTTAAAAGCTTAACAGGCAATGGATTTAGCGGTTTTTGTTTTGCAGATAAGCTACTCATCTACCTAGTGGGCTCCAATGACGACAACAT